GAGGTGAGGAAGCCAGCCCAGAGAGATGGGGTGACTGGCCCAAGGCCTCACGGCAAAGTGGTGATAGAGCCAGTTCTACCGACTCCCAGTCCAGGGCTCCCTCCTAACGCCCTCCAAGCCACCTCTTCAGGCTATGAGTCAGGAGTGACCACCCCAGGACTCCCAGATGTGGCGGTGACCCTTCCATAATTAGGTTACAAAAGAGCAGGGAACCTCAGAACCCCAGCAGACTTTGGGAACCCTCAACTTTAGGCCTGACAGCTCTTCCCCAACCCAGGTCCCCTGCTAACATGGCTCCCTTGGCCCTAGAAGGATGTGTCACTTTTGGGCCTGCTTGATCTGCTGTGACCAGGCTAGGACACTTGATGGGGCAGTTAGCCTGGTGTACCAGTTACCTACTGCTGTGTAACAAATTACCCCAGACAATGGTTGAAAACAACAAACACTTATGGTCTCACAGTTTCTGGGGACTAAGAATCTTGGTGTCGTTTAGCTGGGTCATCTGGCTTGCTACTGAGGTGTAATGTTGGCTAGGCTGTTGTCAGCTCAAGGCTTGACTTGGAGGGGGGGCCCTGGTCCCAAGCTCCTTGCTGTTGGCAGAATTCAGCTCCTCAAGCTCATTGGCTGTTGACCAGAGACTATCCTCTGTCCCTCCCCATGTGGGCCTCACCGTAGGACAGCTAACTTCCATCAGACCACGCAAGCGAGAGAGACTGCCCAAGAGGGAAGCTACAGTCTTGTTGAAACCTGATCTCAGAAGAGTGACATCTCATCGCTTTTGCTGTATTCTGTTGGTTAGAAGTGAGTTATTGGTCCAGCTCACACTCAGGAGAGGGGATTACACAGAGTGTGAACACCAGGCGGTGGCAATTACTGGGGCCTTCTTAGAGGCTGGGGGCCCTGGGTGGTACAAATGGTTAATGCACTCAGCTGCCAATCAAAATGTTGGAGGTTCGAATCCACCCAGTGTAGCTGTGAAAGAATGGCTGGCAATCTACTTTTGTAAAATTACAGCCATTGAAAAGCCTGTGGAGCACAGTTCTACTCTGACGCACATGGGGTTGCCCATGAGTTGGAATCAACTCACTGGCAGCTGGTCTTAGAGGCTGCATACCCCATCTGGAAGAGGAATCTGCTTGTTCCACAGGGAAACAGAACATAGTCCATTACAACTTCTGAAAGTCTGAGTGTCCCTTCAGCTCAGCACCCCCACTCCCACTGCCCACTGTGCTATAGACGGCTAGGGGTCCAGTAGACACTGGCAGGCTGGGGCCACTAGATGGGGCAAGAGGAAAGCCTGCAGCCCAGAGTGCCAAAGTTAAGGGGTGGGTGTGTGGGTGTGTGTGTGTGTGTGTGTGTGTGTGTCCCTTGCCTGTCTCCCTTCTGTCTGTTTTCACTCCCTCTGATCATTCTTATGTGTAGAGATGGCCTTTTCCTTCTCTGATTTTGGTAAGTGAGAAGCGTTGTTGGGGCCACGTTACCTGAAAGGTCTCTCAAGGCCTGGGCCACACCATTTTTTGAAGCTCAGTAAATTAAAACCGAACAAACCCCAAAACAGGGTTCAGCAATTGTGACCTTTTGTAAAGGTTTCCATTGAACAAACTGACGTCATTAACACATCTTTAACACCCAAGGCAGTGTAATTGTGCTTTTTGCAGGCCTGACTGGGGCTTGCAAAGAACTGCTAATTTGCAGGCCAGGAAGGGGTGGGCAGGTGTGGCTGGACTCAAGCCACCAGCTGAAAGATTTGTGACAAGTGTTATCTTCTGTAGTCTTGCCAGAGGGTTCCCTGCGTCTGCCTGTACAACCTTTTTTTTTATAGTGATTACATAGAAAATCTAAATAGGGCCCTTTGCTAATTTATGAATTTTTAATTACTTATATAGCACTTAGGATGTGCCAGGCACTGTTGTAAATGCTTTAAAAGATCAACTTCCGTGGCTTTGCCCCCCTTCTGGCTTTTTTTTTTTTTTTAAACATTTTATTGTTGTTTAGGTGAAAGTTCACAGAGCAAATTAGTTTCCCATTCAACAATTTATACACAGCTTGTTTCATGACATTGGTTGCAAATCCCTGAGCGTGTCAGCGCTCTCCCCACTTCCTCCCTGGGTTCCCTGTGTCCATTCACCCAGCTTTGCTTTTGGGCAAATGCTTCCCTGTAGGTCTCGTAGAGTTGATTGTTCTGAAGTGTACATTCTTCACTGGTGTTATTCTTCATTTTATAGGCCTGTCTATTGTATCGCCATAATGTGATCTCCAGGAATGATTTCAGTTCCAAGTTGGAAAAGTGTCTAAGGGCCATAGTCTTGGAGGTTCTGTCACTCTCTGTCAGACCGGTAAGTCTGTTCTTTTTTTATGAATTTGAATTTTAGTCTACATTTTCTCCCACTCTGTCTAGGACCTTTTACTGCGATCCTGATCAGAGTAGTCGGTAGTGGTAGCCAGGAACCATCTAGTTCTTCAGGTCTCAGGCTAGTGGAGGCTGTGGTTCACGTGGTCCATTAGTCCTTTGGACTAATTGTTTCCTTGAGTCTTTGATTTTCTTCACTCTTCTTTGCTCTGGACGGGAAGAGACCAATAATTGTATCTTGCAAGCTTTTTTAATTTTTATTTTTTATTGTGCTTTCGGTGAAAGTTTACAGCTCAAGTTAGTTTCTTATACAAAATTTATACACATGTTGTTATGTGACCCTAGTTGCTATCCCTGTAATGTGATAGCACACTCCCCTTTCCATCCCGGATTTCCCATGTCCATTCAACCAGCTCCCATCCCTTTCTGCGTTCTCATCTCGCCTCTGGACAGGAGTTGGCTATTTAGTCTCGTGTATCTACTTGAGCTAAGAAGCACACTCTTCACGAGTATCATTTTATGTCCCATAGTCCAGTCTAATCTTTGACTGAAGAGTTGGCCTCGGCAATGGTTTTAGTGCTGGGTTGACAGAGAGTCTGGGGGCCATGCTTTCTGGGGTTCCTCCAGTCTCCATCACACCGTTAAGTCTGGTCTTTTTACTAGAATTTGAGTTCTTCACCCCTCTTTTCTCCTGCTCTGTCAGGGACTCTCTGTTGTGTTCCCTGTCAGGGCGGTCATTGGTGGTAGCTGGGCACCATCTAGTTCTTCTGGTCTCAGGCTGATGCAGTCTCTGGTTTATGTGGCCCTTTCTGTTTGGGCTAATATTTTCCTTGTGTCTTTGTTGTTCTTCATTCTCCTTTACTCGGGTGGGTTGGGACAAATTGATGCATCTTAGATGGTCACTTGCTAGCTTTCAAGACCCCAGACGCCACTCACCAAAGTGGGATGCAGAACATTTTCTTAATCAACTGTTATGCCAATTGACCTAGATGTCCCCAGAAACCATTGTCCCCAGACCCCTGCCCTTACTACTCTGTCCCTCAAAGTGTTTGGTTGTGTTCAGGAAACCTTAACTTTTGGTTTAGTCCAGTTGTGCTGACTTCCCCTGTATTGTGTGTTGTCCTTCGCTTCACCTAAGATAATTCTTGTCTACTATCTAGTTAGTGAATTCCCCTCTCCCTCCCTCTTCACCCTCGTAACCATCAAAGAATGTTTTCTTCTGTGTTTAAACCTTTTCTTGAGTTCTTATAATAGTGGTTTCATACAATATTTGTCCTTTTGCGACTGAATAATTTCAGTCAGCATAATGCCTTCCAGGTTCATCCATGTTGTGAGATGCGCTCACAAGCTTTTAAGACCCCAGTTGCTACTCACCAAAGAAGGATGTAGAACATTGTCTATATGGATTATGTTATGCCAGTTGACTTAGATGTCCCCAGAGACTATAGTCCTTAGCCCTCAAGTCCAGGATCTCAGTTCCCAGAGATGTATGGTTATGGCTAAGAAGTTTTCATGTGTGTGTCCCCTGTGCACACTATTGCATATGTGGGTATATTTGTAGCATATACACATATATATGTATGTGGATGTACTTCCATATGCCCTCTCACCCCTGTTCAGCTTACATATCTACCTGTGTATCCACTCATTGTTATTACTGTTGTTGCAGGATTGTATATGTATTAATATTTACTGTCGTAAATATTGTGTACCTTTCAGTGTCTTCGTTTACCTTGACTATGTTGTGCTGACTTCCCCTATATTGTGTATTATCTCTCCCTTCATCAAGTTAGTAAATCTGCTATCTACTTAGTGGTCCCCCACCCACACTCCATCGCTGGTAACCATCAAAGAATGTTTCTGTGTGGAAACCTTTTCTTGAGTTTGTATAATAGTGGTCTCATACAATACTTGTCCTTTTGTGATTGACTTATTTCACTCAGCATAATGCCCTGGTGGTGCAACAGTTAAGAGCTCAGCTGCTAACCAAAAGGTCGGCAGTTCAAATCTGCCAGCTGCTCCTTGGAAACCCTGTGGGGCAGTTCTACTCTGTCCTATAGGCTTGCTGTGAGTTGGAATTGTCTAGATGGCAACGGGTTTAATGTTTTCCAGGTTCATCCATGTCGTGATATGTTTCATGCATACATCGTTATTCTTTAATGTTGTGTAGCATTTCATTGTGTGTATGTACCATAGTTTGTTTGTCCATTCATCCGCTGATGGGCACTTAGGATGTTCCTCCTTGTTTTAATAATATGGGAAGGATTTTTCCCTCCAGGGCTCCTCAGAGGTTGAGAGAGATGCAGGCCATCACTAGTTAATTTAAAAAATAAAAGATACCAAAACAGGCATATGCCTACCCCATGCCATCCTCAACACAAGCCTAGAGGTTGGTGTCACTATTATCACCATTTTACAGAGAAGGAAACTGAGGCACAGAGAGGGGGCACCTGCCCCAAGTTACACAGCTGGTGACCTCTTTGGCCTTTCTGGGCACCCCACTTGCCCTGGAGAGATCATATGCCCCAAGTGTTCTGAAATGCTCTGGGATGTCCATGTGGCAGACAGTGTGGGTAGGCTGGGCTGGCAGCCCCTTGTTCTGCTGGGGGGTGGATACTGACCCCACCCTTATGTGTATGTGACAATGAAGTTGTGCTTATTGGGAACTGGTTGGGGGACTACAAGGGCAGCATGGCCCTCCACTTTAGGACAGGCTGCGCCTTGTCCTGTAGCAGTTCTACACCACAAAGAAGCCTGTGCCTTTCGGCCAGGGCTGTGTGTTCCCTGTGGTCCTGACAACAGGTACACAGCAGACCAGGGTTCAGGAGGAGAGGGACCTGGGGGGGTCCTCCTGCCCCCCCACCCCAGTCACCAATCACCCCGACCTGGTGCCATTTCAGTGCTGAGAGCTTTGGGCATCCCAGCGCGCAGTGTGACTGCCTTAGAGTCAGCTCATGACACAGAGAACCTCACAGTGAATGTCTACCTGGACGAGAAGGGCAAGGTCATCTCCAGTATGAGTAACGACTCTATCTGGTAGGGTCCCCCCTTCCCACACGGCCCTGCCTCCTTCCTTCCATCTCTGAGGAATTTTCTAGCCCATCTCTAGGCCCTCCCCTCCCTGAGACTCACTCTCTTGTGGTGTCCCTCCCACCTCTTTCAGAGAACAAGTCAAGTCATAGGCGCCTAGATGCCCACTGCCCTTGAAATTCAGTGTTTTTCCAAATTTGCCCTTGGAAAGTCTGTACCAGAATCACCTGAGGGTGCTTGTTAAAAATGCAGACTCCTGTATATGCACGCATGTGACAGCATGCACATATTCATATATATAATAAAGCACATAGGGGGCACAATTATGGATACTGCTTAGATATAACCAAACACCTCACAGAACTGGTCACTGGGTTTGAAGGATTAGGACCATAGTCTCGTGGGACAACTTGGTCAATTGGCATAGCATAGTTCATAACGTTATATTCTACATCCTAGTCTGGTGAGTAGCGTCTGGGGTCTTCAAAGCTTTCGAGCAGTCATCTAAGATACAACCATTGGTCTCTACTCATCCAGAGCAAAAGAGAAAGAAGGAAACCAAAGATTCAAAGAAGAAACTAGTTTACAGGACAAATAGTATACATGAACCACGGTCTCATCTACCCTGAGACCACAAGAATTAGATGGTGCCTGGCTATCACTACCTACCGTTCTAATCAAGGACACAATAGATGGACCCTGATAGACTGGGAGAGAAATGTGGAACAGAACCTCAAATTCCTAAAAACCAACCGAAACAAATGAACAGAAAGACTTACTGGACTAGTTGAAACTGGAGGGCTCCCTCAGATTATTGCTCTGAGATACTCTTCAGACCTTGAACCCCTGAGGTCACCTTGTAGCCAAGTGACAGATTGGCTCGCTAAATAATGAATATCACCCGTAATTACTGTGCCCCAACCCTTTCATTACTACTGGTTTAATGGTATACCAGCCACTTTTTGTGCCTCTGGACCTCGTAAGTAGTACATTATTCTGGTTCCAATGTATTTAGCATCAAGGTGGGTCCCTTTTGAAATGTGTGAAGTTCAGCAGACCAGAGTTGGCGCCTCATTGTTGTGTAGGTTGAACATTCTATTAGGTAATGCTTCCTGGATGTTTTAGTTTTGTAAACTTTTACCTTTTTTGCCTTTATTTCTGTGAGGTAAAGCTTGCAAGCATAATTATGGCTTTCCTGTGTGATAGTTAGGGAGTCCTGATGGGTTTGTTTTGTTTTTTCTGTGTTAAAGTGGTAAAACCAGAGGTTCCCCGTGTAACCTAATGGAAAGACACCAGCAATAAATTCTCGATTTAGCTCTTATTGGTATATTTCATACCACAGATGGGTGGCGCAAGAGTGCCACTTGCCTCATTGGTGGCTTGTATTACCAGGTCATATTTCTCAAAATCCATATTACTAACCAAAAATGTAAACACATTCAATTAGTAAGCATGCATTCCAATACTGAAAACACGTCATCAAAAAAATTAATAAAAAAAATTTAGTAACGAAAGGGTTAAAAAATTACCTATATGAGACCAAATCGTCAACAATGACTTTAAAACAAAGATAAGAATGTAAGAGGGCAGGGAAACTAGATTAATGGAAACAGAACAACCAGAATGGAAATAATGAGAATGTTCATACATTGTGAAGAATGATCAATGTCACTGAACAATTTGTATAGAAATTGTTGAATGGGAACCTAAACTGCTGTGTAAGTCTTAACTGAAAACAACAATAAAATATAATTTAAAAAAAAATACAGATTCCTGGACCAGAGCCTTAGCCCCTAGAGGTGAAGGCCAGGAATCTGTATTTGCTTTTAACACCCTGCCTAGGAGATTCTGGTACTTCCTGCTGTTTGAAAACCTTTGCTGTAACTGGTCCCCATTAGCCAGCGTGAAGCTCTATTTCTTTCTATTTTTTTTTAAGGAAAAATGTTTCCTTTATTTCTTTTGTTGCTTCTTTATTTATTGTTGCCTTTACCCTAACTCAAGCTTGTGAGAAAACACCTTTTTTTAAATTTTATTGTGTTTTTGGTTAAATTTTACAGCACGAATTAGTTTTTCATTCAAAAATTTATACACAAATTGTTTTGTGACATTGGTTGCAATCCCGACAATGTGTCAGCACTCTCCCCCTTTCTCTTCCCACCCTCGGTCTTCCGTGTCCCTTTGTCCAGTTTTCCTGTCCCTTCGTGCCTTTTATCTTTGCTTTTGGGCAGGTGTTGCCCGCTTGGTCGTGTATACTTGATTGAAGTATAACATTCCTCACGTATGTTATTATTTGTTTTACAAGGCTCTGTTTCCTTGGCTCTCTGACCCAGCACGCACAGGCCCCCTTGCAGGCCTAAAAGCGGCCATGGGAGAGAAGAGGGTGAACGAGGAGTTGCAGAGGGACTGGAGGAGATGCGCAGACCAGGGCATGGTTGTAAATCCCTGAGGTGGTCCATTTGGGGCTGGTGCCTGGCAGGGGTGCCTACTCTCACAGCTTTCATTCAGAAGTCACTCGGAAGTTCTAGTTCATGCGCCAGGACAAGGGAGGAAAAAAAAAGAGTTGAAACTGCTGAACGGAGGCGCTAAAACTGTACTACTTGCAGATGATGTAATTTTCTACCTAGAAAAACGGAAAGAATCAACTTAAAAATAAACCCAAAAACCAAGTCAAGCGCCCAGTAGGACAGAGTAGAACTGCCCCATAAGGTTTCCAAGGCTGTAAATCTTTATGGGGGCAGACTGCCACATCTTTTTCCCGCAGAACACCTGATGGGTTCAAGCCACTGAACTTTCAGTTAATAGCCGAGCGCTTTAACCCCTGCACCACCAGGGCTCCTCCTTAAAAATAGCAAGAGCTAATATCAAGAGTTCAGAGATTGGCCAATTACAAAATTACTGATCAACAAAACCAGAATCCCAGCGAATGTCAGTCTGCAGCCCCGGAAAAGATGAGACTTGCTGTTTCTCTCTCATTCACTCATTCATCCGGGGAACACTGTCTAGGCACTAAAGAGACCCAGACAAATAAGATTTGGTCCCTGCCTTGAGGACCTCTCTGCAGCTCGTTGTGAAGCTTCGCTGGCTCTTTGGGAGTCATAGATCAGATCAGGGTCTGATGAGATTTCCCCCACCCCACCCATCTGCATCCAGCTTTCAAGGTGAGACAGCTGAGCCTCAGTGATAGCCTGCCCTTGCCAGTGTTGACAAAAGTTCCCCAGCCCTGAGAACCACCTCTGTGGGTCCCTGGGCATTTTGGCATGTGTCTCTCTCACTGTGTTTGGGGGCGGGCTGGGGTGGACCATTCCCTACCTGCCAAAGGAGTTTCCACGTATGGACAGATGCCGGGATGAAGCGGCCGAATCTGCCCAAGGGCTATGGTGGATGGCAGGCTGCAGACAGCATGCAGCAGGAGCTCAGCCAGGGTGAGCTGGGTGGGTGGGGTCAGCAGGAGACTGCGCTGGATCTGATGCTTTCCTCACCTGGCCCTGGGTTCTGTGGGTCTTGGGTATGCAGCTAAGAAGGTGTAGATAAAGATTTAATAAAAACTTCCCAAAACAAAAAGCTTGCCCAATCATTCCTGCCATCCCACTGAGCAGGGTCTTTTGTTTGCTAGGCATTTTATAAAGATAATGCTAATAATAATAATACTAACAACACAATAATGATAATGATAGCAATTAAGAGGGTCCTACTGTGTGCCTGGGAGGCACAAATGGTTTACACTCCACTACTAACTGAAAGGTTGGTGGTTCGAATCCACCTAGCAGTGCTGTGGAAGGAAGCCCTGGTAATCTGATTCTGAAGAGAACAACAAAGAAAACCCTTCAGAGCTCAGTTCTCCTCTGTGACACATAGGGTGGCCATGAATGGAATTGACTCAACAACAATACGTTTGGTGTTTTTTTTGGGTTTACTGTGTTCCATGTAGGAGCCCTGGTGGCTCAGCGGTTAAGTGTTTGCCTGCTAACCAAAAGGTTGTCAGTTCAAATCCACCAGCTGCTCCTTGGAAACCCTGCTTCTTGGCAGTCTGCTTCTGTAAAGATTAGAGCCTTAGAGACCCTATGGGGCAGTGCTACTCTATCCTATAGGGTTGCTATGAGTCAGAATCGACTGAACGACACACGACAATGTTCCATGTGCAGTACTGACAGGATCCCATCTAACTCACAACTAACCTTTTGAGATCTGTTTTGTCATTATCCCCATTTTACAGATAAGGAGACTGAGGCTCAGGGAGGTGAAGTGAGTTGCCCCAGGTCACACAGCTCCAAGTGGCAAAGCCAGGATTGGAGCCCGAGTTGGATGTAATGGGGCTGATTATCCCACTTGGTTATGGGGTACCTTGTCCCAGGAAGGACTGTAGGCCCTTGTAGCTGGAAGGACCTTGGGGAGAGTCTTTGTACAGATGGGAAAAGAGAGATGAGAGGCTGGTCTGAGGATACTCAGAAAATTTATGAAATCAAGTTATCGTTATTTTAAACTGTGAGTGCTAGTATTAAAGACAAAAAAAGTCTGCCAATAAAGGAAAAACAGGTCAATAGTTTTCAAACGTTTTTTAAAGCAATCAAGCCCTTCAGAAAGAAACTGCATGGGACATCTCATTATGTAAAAGCTCCAGGTGAAGTGTGACTAGGGGACCAGCCTGCCTGACTCCCTGATGCCCTGCCCCCTCCCACCATCCCTGAGGCACCGCAGCCTCCGTGGGACACTGAGGATCCCTGCAGCAGATGCCTCCAATGGTCCTTCGGGAACAAGCTTCTGTTTGGCTGTGAATCTATTCCCTGGAAGAGCAAAGTCACCTGCCCTCGAGGCCAGACAGTGAATGTGGTGGTGGAATGGCCAGTTGGGAAGGTGGGAACTCTGAAACCTGAGCATGCCACCCCAAAGGCCTTCAAATTAAAACTTTAACAGGACTGTGCTGGCCCCACACCCCTCAGTGGGACCCTTGATTCCTCCAGCTATGTATGATCTGAGCCCACGTGGCCCTGAAGGCAAAAGTGCTGTTAGAATGAGTGAAGCTAGCCTCCTTGTCTCCTCCAGCGTTACCCTTGTAATGGGGGTGGTGGTGGTGGTGGTGGTGGGAGGTGTCCCCCAGAGGTGGGAAGGACCAAGGATACGGCCATATCCCCCTGCACTCTGTCAGTGGGCTCCTCGGATCCAGGGAGTCACGGTTACATCTGCTGAGGTGGGGCCAGTGGCCATGGCAACAGGGTAGTGAGCTGCCCCACGGCTACTGGCCTAAGAGACAGAGGAAGCTCTGTTCCCTGGCCAGAAAGGGACCTTAGAAGCTCACCTACCCCACTAACTTTATAGACAAGGCCAGAGAGGGAGATGGAGATACCCAAAGTCACTCAGCAAGTGAGGGGCACAACTAGTGTTAGGTTAGGAGTCCCCCTGGGTCCTAGTCCTCTGCTACACAGAATGCTTTAAAGAGGGAAGGGAGAGGAGCTTCCTATGTTGAGGATTAAGTAAAATAATGGAAGCACCAAGCCCAAAGTCTAGAATACAAAGGTATGTAAAAACCAAAACTACAACCAGTTGTCACTGAGGAAGCTGTGAGCCAATAGACTAATTTGTATTAAGTTGTTAATGACTGATATAGGGACATTTTCATCCACTTGCCAGAAATTTAGAAGAGAGAGCTTACGATGGAAATGCTTCTGTTATCCCAGATAGATAACAACTGCTTATGTTTGTTCCAAGCACAATGCTAAGTACTTTACATGTCTTATTTTGTTTAATCTTCACGATAGTCTTATGGGGTAGATGCTGTTTTTATTCCCATTTTCTAGGAAATGGAGGCTTAGAGAGCTAAAGTAACTTGCTCAAGGTTACACAGCCTCAAGGTTTGAAGTCTGAATTCAAACCCAGATCTTAAAATCCTGTGCTCTGCTGGGTCTGGTTTGCTGGGATTAGTTTAATGGTGGTGGTGCTGACAGTGTGACTTCTCATTACTGGGAGAGAGGTTTCCTTGACAGTCTTGAAGCCAAAGCTGAAAAGTGTCCCTCTTTTCAGAATAAAGACAGCCTAGGAAATGAGCACTCCAGATGTCTCTGCCCTCTGGGCAAAGCTTGCTTGCCAGTTTGGGTTTGGGAGTCATTGCTGTCATTGCTATGGATTTAGGGGTGGCTGTCTAGGCAGGGAAGGCAAGGGACACGATAGGGAAATGAGAGGCCCAGCACAGTCTAGGCAGGGTGGGCACCATTACCCCTGGTTGCCATCCACAACGGTGACATCTTCCTAGGCTATGACACCAAGTTCATCTTCTCCAAAGTGAACACTGACCAGCTCACTTGGCTGATGAAATCAGTGAATGGGAATATGGAGTTGAATATGATCTTGGTGGATCTTAGGAGCATTGGGAAAAAGATCAGCACCAAGGCAGTAGGCTAGGACAGTCAGAGGGACATCACCAACGAGTACAAGTACCCAGAAGGTGACCAGTGTGGCAGGAATCCTTCTAACTCAGAGTTACCAAAAGCTGATAATAGTCAAGATCAAGAGTTGGCAAACTTATTCTGTAAAGGACCTGATAGTAAATATTTTAGGCTTTGTGGGCCAGATGGCCCCTATCACAAGTACTACTCAACTCTGCTGTTGTAGCTTGAAAGCAGCTATAAACAATACATAAGTTAATGAGTATGGCTGTGTTCCAATAAAACTTTATTTGGAATAACAAATGGTAGGCCAGATTTGGCTCATAGGCCATAGTTTGCTGACCCCTGGTCAAGCTGATGATAATGATGATAAAGATCAAGAGCTACATTGATTTTTATTAATAGCTATTATTTATAAGGAGCCTCTGGGCGGTGCAAATGGTTAAAACACTTGTCTGCTAACAGAAAGGTTGGCGGTTTGAGTCCTCCCAGAAGCACCTCAGAAGAACAACCTGGTGATGTACTTCTGAAAAATCAGCCATTGAAAACGCTATGGAGCACAGCTCTACTCTGACACACATGGGGCCGCCATGAGTTGGAATAAACTCAACAGCAACTGGCATCATTCATCACCACCAATAGTAGCTACGAGTATTATTATCAACCATTTATTATTATTAATAATAATCATTAATTTGTAGTTGTAGTTACAGCTAATATTGCTTGAGCGTTAACCACATGCTAAACTCAGTGCAAAGCACATTTCGTACCTCATCTCATTTAGTCCTCGCAGTAGCCTGTGAGGTTTGTTTCTAATTCGCATTTTAAACAAACAAACAATCAAAAAAACCACACTCATTGCTGTGGAGTTGATTCTGACTCATAAAGACCCTATAGGACAGAGTAGAACTGCCACATAGGGTTTCCAAGGAGCAGCTGGTAGATTCGAACTGCCGACATTTTGGTTAGCAGCTAAGCACTTAACAACTGCACCACCAGGGCTTCAATTCACATCTTAGAAAGTCAGAATTATCAGGTTACTGGCCTAAGCTCACAGAGCTAATAACTGGCCGAGCCAGGTTTTGAAGTCAGGTTCCTCTGACACTGAGCCCCCATTCATCGCTACTGTATAATATGAATTCCACAGATCCTACCAGAGCCAGGGACTTCTCTGGACTGGGTCTGGCATAGCAGGGAGCTGGGCACATAAGGTCAGGCAGTGTATCCCTAGGCTTTGTGGTCTGATGGGTCATTTAATACATTGGGATGCCACCCACAGAGACTGAGCCTGCAAAGGGGGTGGGGTAGGCAATCCTGAGAGGGAGGATGAGTCGGTTTGGAACACACTAAATTCAGGGTCTGGAGAACATCCAGGTTGAGATTTCCAGGAAGGGGTGGGTTGAACTCAAAGGAGAGTGACCAGGGCTGGAGGTGGGGATGGGGAAGGGTCAGCCAGGAGGTGGTGACTAAACCCAATAGAAGGATGAAATCCCTTGAGGTGTAGGCAAAGTGAGAAAAGCATCAGGTCAGGAAATGCCAACCTTTCAGGGACAGGCAGATAAACAAAGTCCTCAAACACGAGACAGAAGAAGAGGCAAGAGTTTAGGTTACCAGAGGAGGAATTTGCCCAGGCAGAGGTGGTCACTAGGGCCAGAAGCTGCTAAGATAAGAATCAACAAGTGCCCACACAACAGGTAACCTGGAAGGGTGAGCTGGAGTCACCTGGAGAGAAGAATCAGGGTTCCAGAGCCCCCAAAGCATAGCAAATTGCCCAGGGAAGTCCTGGGAGCCTTTGTTCCTCACTCACCAGGCCTCCAGACTAGAGGTAACTTGGAAACCTACAGGCCAGGCTTCCTGTGTCTCCTCCCACTTAAATGAGATATTCCGGTATCGTGAGAGATCAACAAGGGCCAGAGGAAATCCTAGCCCTAGTGCTCTAATTTGGGGTTTTGTAATACCCTGAGTCAGTCTAGATTTAAAAAAAAGCAAAACAAAACATTAGCTACTGGACTTGGAGCCCATGGTACCCCGATAGGTCAGAGCCATAGTCATCATTATAGCTCTTTCTGGTAAAGGTCTCCATGAGTTATGGCCCAGCCAGGGATTGCCTGTATACCAAATGTATATAATGCTTTTTATTTTTCTAAGGTCAGTAGTAATGCGTTCCCTTTCATTTCTGATTTTAGTAATTTGTATCTTCTCTTTTTTTCTTGGTCATCTGGTTAAAGGTTTGTCAATTTTGTTCGTCTTTTCAAAGAACCAAATTTTGGTTTCATGGATTTTCTCTATTTCATTTGTTTCCACTTTTATTTTTATTATTTCCTTCCTTCTGCTTGTTTTGGGTTTAGTTTGCTCTTCTTTTTTGAGTTTCTTAAGGTGGAGTCAGAACAAGGCCAGGGGAACAGACCATCAGTTGCTCCTATGCAAGTTCAAGTTGAAGCTGAAGAAAATTAGAACAAGTCCACAAGAGCCAAAATACAAACTTGAGTATATCCCACCTGAATTTAGAGACCATCTCAAGAATAGATTTGATGTATTGAACACTAATGACAGAAGACCAGACGAGTTGTGGAATGACAACAAGGACATCATCCAGGAAGAAAGCAAGAGGTCATTAAAAAGACAGGAAAGAAATAAAAGACCAAAATGGATGTCAGAAGAGACTCCAAAAGTTGCTCTTGAATGTAGAGTAGCTAAAGCAAACAGAAGAAATGATGAAGTAAAAGAGCTGAACAGAAGATTTCAAAGGGTGGCTCGAGAAGACAAAGGAAAGTATTATAATGAAATGTGCAAAGACCTAGAGTTAGAAAACCAAAAGGGAAGAACACACTCAGCGTTTCTCAAGCTGAAAGAACTGAAGAAAAAATTCAAGCCTCAAACTGCAGTAGTGAAGGATTCTACAGGGAAACTATTAAATGACGCAGGAAGCATCAAAAGAAGATGGGAGAAATATACAGAGTCACTGTACCAAAAAGAATTGGTTGATGTTCAGCCATTTCAGGAGGTAGCATATGATCAAGAACTGATGGTGCTGAAGGAAGAGGTCCAAGCTGCACTGAAGGCATTCGCGAAAAACAAGGCTCCAGGAGTTGATGGAATACCAATTGAGACGTTTCAACAAACGAATGCAGCGCTGGAATCCTCATTTGTCTATGCCAAGAAATTTGGAAGACAGCTACCTGGCCAACCGACTGAAAGAGATCTATATTTGTGTCCATTCCAAAGAAAGATGATCCAACAGAATGAGGAAATTATTGAACAATATCGTTAAGATCACACACAAGTAAAATTTTACTAAAGATCATTTAAAAGTAGTTGCAGCAGTACATCGACAGGGAACTACCAGAAATTCAAGCCGGGCTCAGAAGAGGATGTGGAACGGGGGATATCATTGCTGATGTCAGATGGATCTTGGCTGAAAGCAGAGATTACCAGAAAGATGTTTACCTGTGTTTTATTGACTATGCAAATACATTTGACTATATGGATTATAACAAATTATGGATAACATTGCCAAGAATAGGCATTTCAGAACACTTAATTGTGCTCATGAGGAACCTATACTTAGACCAAGAGGCAGTTGTTTGAACAGAATAAGGGGATACTGTGTGGTTAAGGTCAAGAAAGGTGTGCGTCAGGGTTGTATCCTTTCACCATACTTATTCAATCTGTATGCTGAGCAAATAATCTAAAAAGCTGGACTATATGAAGAAAAATTCAGCATCAAGATTGGAGGAAGATTCATTAACAGTCTGTGATACGCAGATGACACAACCTTGCTTGCTGAAAGTGAAGAGGACTTGAAGCACTTACTGATGAAGATCAAAGACCGCAGCTTTCAGTATGGATTACACTTCAACATAAAGAAAACAAAAATCCCCCCAACTGGACCAATGAGCAACATCATGATAAACGGAGAAGACTGAAGTTGTCAAGGATTTCAATTTATTTGTATCCACAATTAACACCCATGGAAGCAGCAGTCAAGAAATCAAACGACACATTGTATTGGACAAATCCGCTGCAAGAGATCTCTTTGAAGTGTTAAAAAGCAAAGATGTCACTTTAAGGACTAAGGAGCGCCTGACCCAAGCTATAGTGTTTTCAATCGCCTCATATGCATGTGAAAGCTGGACGATGAATAAGGAAGACTGGAGAAGAATTGATGCCTTTGAATTATGGTGTTGGTGAACAATATTGAATATACCATGGACTGCCAGAAGAAGGAACAAAACTGTCTTGGAAACAGTACAAGCGGAATGCTCATTAGAAGCAAGGATGATGAGAGTTCATCTCACATACTTCAGACGTATTACCAGGAGGGACCAGTCCCTGGAGAAGGACATCACGCTTAGTAAAGTAGAGGGTCAGCGAAAAAGAGGAAGACCCTCAACAAGATGGATTGACACAATGGCTGCAACAATGGGCTCAAGCATAACAAGGATTGTGAGGATTGCACAGGACTGGGCAGTGTTTTGTTCTGTTGTATATGGGGTCACTATGAGTCAGAACTGACTCAACTGCACCGAACAACAACAACAACAAGGTGGAGGGTTAGAGTATAGAATTAAGATTATTCTTCTTTTCTAACATTGGTATTTACAGCTATAAATTTTCCTCTAAGCACTGATTTAGCTGCATTCCATAAATTTTGGTATGTTGTGTTTTTGTTTTCATTCATCTCAAAGTATTTTCTAATTTCCCTTGTAACTTCTTTGACTCATTGGTTATTTAGGAGTGTGTTGTTTCATTTCTGTGTATCTGAATTTCACAAATTTCCTTCTGTATTCTTATTTCCTTCCATTGTGGTTAGAGGACATATTTTGTATTATTTCAATCCTTTTAAATTTATCAAGACTTGTTTTATGACCTAACATATGTATGTACTAAAGAATGTTTCATGTGCACTTGAAAAGAGTGTATATTCTGCTGTTGTTGGGTGGAGTGTTTTATAGATGTATGCTAGGTCTAGTTGTTTTATAGTGTTGTTCAAGTCTTCTATTTCCTATTGATCTTCTGTCTAGTTGTCCAACTTGTTGAAAACAAAATATTGAAGTCTCCAACTATTATTGTCCAATTCTCCTTTTAAATCTGTCCATTTGTGCTTCATGTATTTTGGTACATGGTAGCCGCAGGGGCTGGTGAACCCAAGATCGGCAGATTAGAGAGCAGAGCTCTTGCTCACAGGCTGTGAAGATTGACGAATCCCAAGATTGGCAGGCAAGACCGCAAGGCTTCTTCTAATTGATGTAGCTGCAGGGGCTGGCGAACCCAAGATTGGCAGGTCGGAGAGCAGGGCTCCCGCTCAATGGCTGTGAAGGTTGACGAATCACAAGATCAGCAGATAAGCTGATAGCTCAAGTCCCAAGAACCAGAGGTGAGATGAGCAGGAGGCAGCCACAGGATCGAGAGTGAGCAAAAAGCCAGAACATCTGCTTATATTCGGATGCAGGCCACACCCCAAAGGAAACTCCCTTTCAACTGATCAGCTACTCTCAGCAAATTCCATCATGGAGTGATCACATATAAACACTGAGAATCATGGCCCAACCAAGTTGACATACAATCTTAAACCATCACAATATTTATTTTTGTATTGGGCACCTTGCTTTTTTTGACAATATACCTTGTATCACACATATAGGGTTTCCTCATTTGTTTTTATGACCAAGTAATTTCCATTAACTGGCTACACCTACTTCTTTAGCCATCCCCTCTTAGTGATGTTGAGACTGTTTCCAATCATTTTCTGATAGACAAGACTGCAGTGTCTGTATGTAGCATTGGTCATGTGTCATTTAATGGGTGTGGGGACATATCTGCCTGACAAATTCGGAGAATTGGGATTATGTGCTAGGTACTTTAAATGTGTTTTAAATAAAATTTTACTTAAGTAAAATTTAAGAGTATTGGACTACATCTTCCTTGTTAAAATGGAAATACCGAACTGTTTGTAATTTCAGTCCCCTCCCTCATACATCCAGTATCTAACTTGCTTCTTTCACTCCACAGCAGATGAAGAGATCAAATCTGTTAGTGTCATAGAGAAGAGCCTCATTCTTCTCACTGCTCAATGGGATTCTCATGGCTGGAAATTCCTTAGTTTATTTGACTTTCACCCTTCATACTTTTAGCCATTACAATCAGTGCTATGAGAACAGCCTTGAACTTTTGTCAATAGATACATGAAAAAAAATGGTACTGGATTTGAACTTGCATCTCCTTGATGTCTTAGTGAGACTGGGTATTTTTTTCATATTGACTATTGGGTTTTCTTTTCTGGGAACTGCCTGTTTATATCTCATGCCCTTCTTTTTTTTTTCATTTGGGCTGTCTTGTTCTTGTTGATTTGTTCTCATAACAGTGGGTCAACCTGCCAATGTCTTTGCTGTTCTGCCACCATGTCCTGTGTTGCACATCTGGGTGGTGGGGTGTCTGTGTGTGTCTGTGGGTGTGTGTGACTATGTGGGCTCTCCCTCCAAGTGTGGCAGCTTGAGGTCTATCTCGGGACCTTGGTGAACCCTGTCATACTACCTTTAATTTTTTCACTTTGGCCACTTAATACTATTGACCAAAATTCTGAAACAGGGGATGAGAATGGAAGCTATTCCTTCCACAGACACTGAGTAAGTACCTACTGTGAGCAGAGATGAAGAGACCCTGAATTTAGAAGAGGGGCAGAGTGGGGAGCATAGCAAGTGTGGAGTGGCTCCAATCCCTGCTCTGAAGCGACCAGCTGGGTGGTGTTGGGCGGATACCCGAGTCTCGTCTGTAAAATTAGCGTTAGGTTGAGGAGATTGCGGGCTGCCGTGGGGGCTGGAGATCATGTCCAGCAAGTGCAGGGCTTGGCACAGACGTGAGGGGACTCTGGGACCCACACCCAGTACAGTGGGAGGTGGAGTTGTATGCTGGCTGCTCTGGGTGTGGGTTACAGCTTACCAGTTACAGCTTTCTCCTGTGAAAATGCTGTGCCCTTGCTGAAGACTTCATGGCAGGTTCCTGATGCCACTGCCTTAGAGCTTCTGATAATTTACCCAAGGAAATTGCCACACAGCCCTTCACATCTTCAGGCCTGGCCATTGTGAGGGCTTGTCATGGCCCTATAGGTGGGGGCCTCTGGCCAGTGCCCTAGTAGGTGCACTGGAGGCAGGGACTCCGGGCAGACTAAGAATGTGGCCCCCCTTTAAAAGACTATTCTTTGATATTTCTGTGGAGATGTGGCTGAGGGCCAAAAGAGAAGGGTGGAGGAGCAGATTGCTGGTGGCAGCCCCAGCCTGTTGTCTGAGCATTTACTTGGCCCCAGACATACTTTCCCCACCCAGCAAAATGGGATCCTGTAGTTCACTGGGCCCACCCTCCTTGGAAGGCAGCTAAAGGTCCATCTGTCATGGCTTAAGTGTCAAAAGAGTTTCTCTTGGAGGTCTTAACCCCTGCCCAAATGACTTAGTAAAGTATTTCTTCCAACTCCTGAGAGGAGTTGGGGAGAGTCCACAACACTCCCTGGTCATGTTTCTGGGGATGTTTGCTGTGCCTTGCAAAGAGGCGTTCTAGGTGGGCCTCGCTGGCCTGCCCCTTGATTTGCTCTGGCTATATTTCAGGAGTTGAGAGGTCTTAGCTAATGACTCTGTGTTGCCAATGGGATGAGGTGTGGGTGGAGAGTGGAGCTGTGTTGGGAGAGCTAGATGTTTGGAGGAAAATAACAAAATGAGATCAAGTCTGAAGCATGCTGAACAAAACGCAAACTGAGGGGCACCCTGGTGGGGGAGCACGAGGCCTGTGATTGGGTCTGAGAAAGAAATCTTAGCCAGGGCCAGTTCTGGGGGTAAGTGGGTACAACAGTCTCAAGTGTCTCATCTAAGAAGATTAGGGGTGTGGCTCTGGGAGGAGGAACAGAGCCAGACTTCAGTTGTGAGCCTTTCTCTGGGCTAAGCTGTGAAGCAAAAGCAACTTGGCTACGAAGCAAAAAATTTTAGAATTTTAGGTCTTGTTTGTGAGGTGTACTAATGTCCAAAGGTACGGAGGGGAGCACTGGTGTGGAGGAGGCAGGAGCCTGTGCTTGGAACATGCGGAGCACACACAGGCATTTAACCCTGGAGCTTGGGAAAGGCATCTGTAGGGTCTCTTCCTCACAAGTGTTGCTTGTTTCAAGGACACTTCTGGGGAAGCCTCCCTGCATCCATCGTTCCTGGTGGAGGGATGTCTCCCAACCACAGGCTGTTATCTGGGACTGGGTTGTAGGGCAAGGTCCCTCCTTTGGCCATGAGGGATCCTGATTAGGGATGCAGAGGAGGCCAGAATGTACGTAAGGCTACCTCTGGCTGGCATGGATTACTGTTCTTGAGTTCCTTAACAAGTCTGACAAACTCAGGATGTCAGGTGGTTGTTGATGGTGCTGTTGTTTCTATGCAGACTGTATATATCTATCTATATGTGTATGTGTGTGTATTCATTCCGGGCTGGGTATCACTCATCATTGTTGGTCTACTTCTCTGCTTTAGCTTATCATGACTCATGCATGTTTTCTCTCCCTCAATCTCCTCCCCACCCCAGCATAGTGGCCTGACACAAACATAGTTGGCCGACAGCTTATTTGCATTTGCAGCCTCGAGAACTCCCTGAGCATCCCTTTGACCAATGCCAAGTTCTCCTGGGAAAGCCTGAGCATCTCCCCACAGTAGACTTTCAACCAAGGTATTTTTTACAAATAGGGCAGAAACAATCTCTCCAGGCACATATTGTTACACATGTGTCCAAGTATTTCTGAAATGTAGATTCCCAGAATGAGATTATAAGGCCAAAATGTTCAGTACCTTTTGTTGTTGTTGTTGTTACGTGCCGTCAAGTCGGTTCCAGCTCATAGCGACTCCATCCATGTACAACAGTATGAAACACTGGCTGGTCCTGCGCCACCCTCACAGTCTTTGCTATGTTGCAGCCACTGTGTCCATCCATCTTGTTGAGGGTCCTCCTCTTTTTTGCTGACCCTCTCCTTTACCAAGCATGATGTCCTTCTCCAAGGACGGGTCCCTCTTCCATGTTGTTAATGAGTCTTCCTCCAATACTGATGTTCTTCTTCATATAGTCCAGCTTCTCGGATTATTTGCTCAGCATACAGATTGAATAGTATGGTGAAAGGATACAACTCCGACGCACACCTTTCCTGATTTTAAACCATGCAGTATCCCCTTGTTTTGTTCAAACAACTGCCTCTTGGCCTATGTACGGGTTCCTCATGAGCACAGATAAGTGTTCTGGAATTCCCATTCTTTGAAATGTTATCCATAATTTGTTATGATCTACACAGTCAAATGCCTTTTCATATTCAATAAAACACAGGTAAACATCTTTCTGATATTCTCTGCTTTCAGCCAAAATCCATCTGACAAAAGGTATCTTTTGATAGCACAAAATTGCTTTCCCAAAAGATTGCATTCATTTATTCTCCACCAACAGGTCTTTTTTATTTTTGCCAATCTAATGGTTAGATAACCTGGTGGCACAATGGTTAAGAGCTCAGGCTGCCAACCAAAAGATCGGCAGTTCGAATCCATCAGCCACTCCTTGGAAACCCTATGGGGCAGTTCTACTCTGTCCCATAGGGTCGCTATGAGTCGGAACCGACTTGATGGCAATGGGGTTAATGGTTAAATGATCTCATTGTTTTAATTTGCGCCTCTCATTATTTGTGACACTGAATTTTTTCTTATGTTAATTGACAACCTCCTGTGAATTGCCTGTTCATATCTGTCTTAGTTATCTAGTGCTGCTATAACAGAAATGCCACAAGTGGATGGCTTTAACAAAGAGAAATTTATCCTCTCACAGTCTAGGAGGCTAGACGTTCAAATTCAGGGCACCAGCTCCAGGGGAAGCCATTTCTCCCTCTGTCAGCTCTGGGGGAAGGTCCTTGTCATCAATCTTCCTCTTGCACTGAGCTTCTCAGTGCAAGGACTCCAGGTCCAAAGGACGAGCTCCACTCCCAGTTCTTCATTCTTGGTGGTAGGCGGTCCCTCTGTCTCTCTGCTCACTTCTCTCTTTTATATCTCAAAAGAGATTGACTCAAGACGCAACCTAATCTTGTAGACTGTGTCCTGCTTCATTAACACAACTGCTTCTAATCCTGCCTCATGCACATCACAGAGGTTAGGATTTCCAACACATAGGAAAATCACATCAGATCACAAAACAGTGGACAACCACACAATACTGGGAATCATGGCCTAGCCAAGTTGCTAACACATTTTGGGGGGACATAATTCAATCCATAACAATATCCTTTGCCCATTTTTCTACTGAGCCATTTATCTTTTCATCTTAATTTGTGTATGCTCCTTACATGGTAAGGAGTGTTATGTGATGCAAATAGTTTGTCACAGTCTGTATTTTTTTTTTAACTTTATGATGCCTTTCACCATTAGAACATTTAAATTTTAAGGTAGCCAAATTTATCAATCTTTTCCTTTATGGCTATTGGGTTTTATGTCACCCCAAGAATATAGACATTATTCTCCAATGCTTTTTCTTGAATTTTTGGCTTTATTTTCATAATTAGGCATTGATCTGGAATTTAATTTTTTGTGTGTGGAGTGATGTACAGCTCCAACTTTATTGAATCATCTGTATCATTTTCCTAGTACTTTGAAAATACCACCTTATTATATTGTTAATTCTTATATGTCTCTAGGTCTCTGGACTCTTTAATCTGCTTATTTGATTTTCTTCTCCTAATGCAATACCATGCAATTAATTTTTTAAATTCTTTTTTTCTAATTGTGCTTTAGGTGAAAGTTTACAGCTCAAGTTAATTTCTCACACAAAAATTTATACACATATTGTTGTATGATACTAGTTGCAATCCCTATAATGTGACAGCACACTTCCCCTTTCCACCCCAGGTTTCCTGTGTCCATCCAACCAGCTCCTGTCCCTTTCTGCCTTTTCATCCTGCCTCCGGACAGGAGTTGCCCATTTAGTCTCATGTATCTGCTTGAACTAAGAAGCACACTCTTCAGGAGTATTAGTTTATGTTTTATAGTCCAGTTTAATCTTTGTCTGAAGAGTTGGCTTCAGAAGTGATTTTAGTTCTGGGTTAACAGAGCGTCCGGGGGCCATGTCTTCGAGGGTTCCTCCAGTCTCAGTCAGACCATTATTAAGTCTGGTCTTTTTAGGTGAATTTGAGTTTTGCACCCCTCTTTTCTCCTGCTCCTTCAGGGACTCTCTGTTGTGTTCCCTGTCAGGGCGGTCATTGGTGGTAGCTGGGCACCATCTAATTCTTTTGGTCTCAGGCTGATGCAATCTCTGGTTTATTTGGCCCTTTCTGTCTCTTGGGCTAATATTTTCCTTGTGTCTTTGTTGTTCTTCATTCTCCTTTGCTCCAGGTGGGTTGGGACCAATTGATGCATCTTAGATGGCCGCTTGCAAGCTTTTAAGACCCAGACGTCACTCACCAAAGTGGAATGAAGGACATTTTCTTAATAAACTTTGTGATGCCAAGTGACCTAGATGTCCCCTGAAACCATGGTTCCCAGACCCCGGCCCCTGCTACTTTGTCCCTCAAAGTGTTTGGTTGTGTTCAGGAAACTTCTTAGCTTTTGGTTTAGTCCAGTTGTGCTGACTTCCCCTGTATTGTGTGTTGTCCTTCCCTTCACCTAAGATAATTCTTGTCTACTATCTAGTTAGTGAATTCTCCTCTCCCTCCCTCCCCACCCTTGTAACCATCAAAGAATATTTTCTTCTGTGTTTAAACCTTGAGTTCTTATAATAGTGGTCTCATACAATATTTGTCCTTATGCGACTGACTACTTTCAGTCAGCATAATGCCTTCCAGATTCATCCATGTTGTAAGATATTTCATGGATTCATCATTGTTCTTTATCATTGTGTAGTATTCCACTGTGTGTATGTATCATAATTTGTTTATCCATTCATCTGTTGATAGGCATCTAGGCTGTTTCCATCTTTTTGCTATTGTGAACAGTGCTACAATGAACAGGGGTGTGCATATATCTATTTGCGTGATGGCTCTTATTTCTCTAGGATATATTCCAAGGAGTGGGATTGCTGGACCATATGGTACTTCTATTTCTAGCTTTTTAAGGAAGTGCCAAATCGATTTCCAAAGTGGTTGTACTGTTTTACATTCCCACCAGCAGTGTATAAGTGTTTCAGTCTCTCCAAAACCTCTCCAATACTTACTATTTTGTGGTTTTTGGATTAGTGCTAGCCTTGTTGGGGTGAGATGGTATCTCATTGTAGTTTTGATTTGCATTTCTCTAATGGCTAATGATCGTGACCATTTCCTCACATATCTGTTAGCTGCCTGAATGTCTTCTTTGGTGAAGTGTCTGTTCATATCCTTTGCCCTTTTTTTAATTGGGTTATTTGTCTTTTTGTTGTTGAGGTTTTGCAGTATCTTGTAGATTTTAGATATTAGACCCTGATGGGATATGTCATAACCAAAATTTTTTTCCCAGTCTGTAGGTTGTCTTTTCATTCTTTTGAATACCATGCAGTTTAAATGATGTAGTTCTACAGTACATTTTGATATATAGTAGGCAGATGCCCCCCTTGTTTTCTTGCCCATGGAACTTTTCAAATCATCTTGTCATATCTCATTAAAAGTTGTTGGCATTTTGATTGGTGCTACATTGAATTTATCAATTTATTTGGGGTAGAATTGTGATAAATGACAATATTGAGTTTTCCCATTTAAGAATGTGGTATATTGTTCCATTTATTCAGTTCTTGTTTGTGATCTTTAGGAAAGTTTTATTGTTTTCTTCATATATAACTCACACATTCCTAGTTGGGTTAATTCCAAGGTGTATTGTAGCTCTTGGTGCTCTTGTGAATAGAACATTTTTCATTGCATTTTCTAATTTTTGTTTGCTGGATACGGAAATGATTGATTTTGGTATGCTGATGTATCTGGCAAAGGACTTCACTGAACTCTAATGGTTTGTTCCTGAGAGGTTTCCGAGGGTCTGTTTCTTACCGGGTATCTGAATCTTCCAAGTAAAAAGCACCAGACTACCATTTCTCCTACACCAGGGTTTCTCAAACCTTAAAGTACCTATAAATTACCTGGAGAATACTGTTAAAATGCAAATTCTCAGTCAGGAAGTCTGGAGTGGGACCTCAGATTCTGGGCCTAACAAACTCCCGGTGATGCGGATGCTGCTGGTCCCTGGACCACACTTTGAGTAATGAGGGGCTAGATGATTCCTTTCATGTGGATTTCATCATAAAACAGATGTTCTTCTTGCACACAACTGTTGTTAATATCCGTGAAACAAGAACATTTGTAAACCCATGCAGGGCTCCCAGGAGGGTGTGCAAAATGCCAGAGCTGGAAGAGGCTTGGGAACCAGCTGGTCCAGCCACCTTGCTTTACATAGAAAGCCGAAGCCCAAGAGTAGCTGAGCTGTCTACAGTCCCAAAGCTGGGATCCCATATTTGAGCAGTGCCAGACTGTGGTTTGAGTGCCAGTCAACTAGCCAGTGGACCGTGGGCAGACCTGAGACTCCAAGAGCAATAAAATGGGGGTAATACTGTTACCTGACCAGTCTACCTCACAGGACTACTGGGAGAGTCAAATGGGCTGAACTGTAAGAGGAAAAAGGGCAGGAAGTGTGCTGAGTGCCTTGAGTGTCCCAGGTCAGTCTGGCTCCAGAGGCCACGCTTGTCCCAGCCCCACACCTTCTAGCGTGAAGGTGAATGGGAAGGAAGTCTATAAACTAGGGTGCACGACTCAAAATGGCCAGACCAGTTGGCGGTAATAAGGGAGGCAGTTGGGTGTCATGGACAAGCAGGAATGGAGGGGACAGTGGCAGTAGGAGTGGCTGCTGCTGCTCACCTCAGCTAGCTGAGGCCACATGCAGACTTTGGCCCAGCACTGTAGGATCTTCTGAATTTTCTGAATAGGCCAGAGGACGGTGTGTGGTGTTCTAGAGTGTAAAGCTCCCGGATCTTAAAAGGTGGCAATTGATTCAAATTGTGAAAATCACCCTGTAGACCACGAGAAGTTGGTCCTCAGCCTACTGGTTTGTAAACAGTGCTGCTACCAGCCAAGATGCTACCTGTGATCCTCCACCCACCTTTCGGCCACTGGGGGCGCCACCCTGACCCACTGAGTCTGACTCTCTGGCATGATGTCTAGTCATAGTATTTGTCAAAATCTCCCCAGGTGGTTCTAACAGCATCTGGGGTTGAGGTTCACCTTGCTGTGCCCTTAAATGGCCAGGCCTTTTCAAAGAGGCTGAGCTAAAGCCAGGAGTTCCTCACACAATGCACCTGCCCCCCAGGATTCTTGGCTGATCGCATGTCTGCGTGCCTTTTCATTTTCCAGGACCGTGATGCCTGGTGAGACCATCAGCTTCCAAATAAAAGGTGCCCCAATGAAAACTAGATCCAGGAAATTTATCATCAAGTTTAGCTCCAATGAAATGAAAGAAGTTTGTGCTGGGAAGATTATTCTCATTACCAACTAGTCTTTCCCTGATGCTGTGGAAACAGGGGGGCAGGAGCCCACTGGCTCTGAGGCTTGGCTGAGCACTTCAGCATCTCCTAGTTGGGGATGAGCTTTCAGATCATGCATGATTAGATTTGATTACACAGATGAGGGCAGACTCAAGAGCCAACTGGGTGTAGGATAAGGAGTTCAAAGGCCAACATGACTAGAGCCACAGGCAGCCAGCCCCTCTAGGCCAGGGTTCGGCCAGCCCTGGAGGCCCTGTCTACTGTGGATGTTCTCTCAGCATTGGCTTGGGCCTTCTGGAAGTGCAGCCACTCCTCTCTACTGCCTGCCTGAAATCCAAGGGTTCCCTTTCCTGGATGCTCCACCCCCACACCCACTGGCTCCCTTTCAGGGGCCCTAGTCTGAGGAAGGAGCCCTGGTGATGCAGGGGTTAAGAGCTGGGCTGCTAACCAAAAGATTGGCAGTTTGAATCCACCAGCAACTCCTTGGAAACCCTATGGGGCAGTTCTACTCTGTCCTATACGGTCACTATGAGTGGGAATAGACTTGACAGTGATGGGTTTGGTTTTTTTTCTTTTTTTTTTAAGTCTGAGGAAGGAGTCCCTGGCTGGCACAAACAGTTAAGTGCTTGATGACTAGCTGAAAGTTTGGCAGTTCGAACTCACCCAGAGGTGTCTCAGAAGCAGGCCTAGCAAACTACTTCCAAAAGATTAGCCATTGAAAACCCTATGGAGAAGTTCTACCCTGACACACATGGCGTTGCCATGAGTTGGAACTGACTCAACGGCAACTAACAACAGTCTGAGGAACGACAGGTGGGCTGGCAGCTTTCCCTCTGACATTGGCTTGGTGGGGGGGCACACACACCACAGAAGCAAAGCTGAGAGCCGTCTAACATGGGTCTGTCTTCCACCTTCTACAACTTCAGGCAGCTTGAAACTATGGGTGCCCTGGGCCCAACTCCATGGCTGTATGCTCTTCCCCAGGGTGGGTATGCCTTTGGAGCACCTGTGGTTTATTAGGAATTTACAGCCTGCTAGGTTCAAGACTCCCCAGCCCCTTGGTGGTAGGGGGTGACTCAGAGGTCCCTCTGACCTGTGAAGGATGGTGTTGAAGAATTAGCATCATGAGCCTTCAAGGGGGCCAGTATAGGGAGGGATAGAGGAGGGAGATGAGGAATGGCCGCACCCTTCTGGTGAGGGCACCCACTCTTGTCTCATGCCTGCTCAGCCAGGGATGCAGAGCAAGTGCCCCATCCCAGGCCTGCTCCCTTCATGAAGCCCTAGAACCTTCTCCAAGGAACTGCTGTAGGCTCCTCCGTCTTGGATGTGGCATCCTCCACCTTGGATTTGTGAATTTTCTGGGCCCATTGTTTCCTCTCCTCCATTTCAGCCCTCTCACGGCCAGGAAGTAAATTTACCCTGAGTACCCCTCTGCCCGCGATCCACCATACCCCAGGAATAGAGCTGCCTTTGGGCCCACCTGTGGGCCTCCATCTCAGGGCATGGAGGGTCAGGCCAGCCAGAGGGGATACTGACGTTGGCCAGCCTGAAGATGGGTTTAAAACAAGGGTGCCCCTTCCTGACCTTTGGGGTAAAGAAGACAACCCCAAGGCAACTCCCCACTTGAAGCCTCCCGCCTTGCCCACCACCTCATCTCCTCTGTGCTGGAGGACTCCACAGGGCCCAAGGGGTGGTCTGCAGGCAGATTCAGGAAACCACCAGAGAACCTCCAGGCCTGGCGACAGGCTCTCCCCAGGCTCCCCGCTCAGTACAGGCAGGCTGCCCAGGGTAAAGGCCCGCCCAACCTGCAAGACCCAGGGAGGAGGCCGAGGGGCCGCTCTCCCTTTCCCAGATGCCTGGAGCTGGCCAGAGTAAGCCTGAGCAGGAGGCGAGGCCCTCATGCTTCTCTAGATAAGCCTAGGAGAGACCTCTGTGCTAGCAGCATCCCCTTCCCTTGAGAAGGGGGCCCATCCAGTGGGACGTCATCATGGGAGGAGGCTCCTCCTTGTGCCAACCAAAAGTCCTTCACTGTTAATTTAAGCCCATTCTGAACTCTTGTTCTGTGCTCGAGATTTTTGCAAATGATCAATATGCCTTTAATTAAACTGTTTCAAGATGATGATGTGGTCACTTTAGTCACTTTTTTTGATTTTTAAATGTGAACAAGCTTAAAGATGTCTGTGCCGGCTGTCACGTGGGCACTTGGGGGGCTGGTGGATCCTCTGAACTTCCCAGGCCAGGGGACTAGCCCTCCAGGGGCCAGGCCTCTTTGTCCTGGGCCACTCAGGATGTCCAGCCCCTCTCTCAAGGGCTGTCACCTTGACTGGACACACACCCTGGGAGGGGCACATATGTAGGTCGAATGAAGGCCATTTTGCATGTAATTTGCATGACATTCTGGGGTGGGGCACTTAGATCAGATGTCCTCTCTCTTCAGGCCCGCCAGTCGGAAAAACAGAAAAACGCAATCTGGCTCAGTCTTGCCCTAAATGTCCACCTCCCTGGCATATGGTAAGCATTCAATAAATGCTTGTTGGATGAAAGGTGATAACATCTCTCTGCTAGAAATAACACACAGGAGATGACCCAGAGAGAAGAGTTTAGTTAGTGAGTCTCCCTAGCACAGCACTGCAATCCCAAGAGGCAATAAAGCCCAGCGCGGCGTGTGACGCTCGTTCCCCACGCTGGCAGTGGAAGAAAAGTGGCTTTCCCAGAGGTGCCCCTGGAGGTGATCTCAGAACAAGGGCGCTGCCCAGGCTTTTTGGGTTTTGGAGATTCCAGCCACTGAGGCCGAGCAAAGAGCTTTTTACTCAAGGCAAGAGGCAAAGGTTGGCGCCCAGCCTTCTCTCCCAGTAGGACTCCTCTCATCTGACATGAGTGCAGTTCTGTCCGTTTGAGTCTAAGCAGAAGAACGCTACACTGAGGTTGGCCCCATGGAACCCTGGCGGTGGCCCAGTCCAGCACTCACAGAATGAGGACTGATGTGGCCGAGGCTCCTGCGTGGAGATGGGTCAGCGATGGGGGGTGGAGGGTGGGCTTGGACTCTGTGCAGGTAAAATGCCCCCACTCCCAAACTTCCTTCCTGGAGCTGCCAATCTCAGAAAACAGAATTGGTTTTGGGGCTAGTGGGTACCTCTGCTTTCAGGCCGAGGTGGCCCTGAAGAAGGTAGCTTCAAACCCGAAGTGCAAGGACACTTCTCAGGGCCATGTGGTTTTTGCACACACCTCTGACTCAGGCCCTGACCTCAGCACGGACTGCTGCTGACTGTGGTCACAGAGTGACCAGAGAACTGTCTTCTCTTATTCTAACTGCTGTTTCCTTGGACCTGAGATGCGGGCACTGCGTTCCTCGCCAGCGTGTAGTCTCTTTGGTATACAACCCACCATACTGGCACTGGGGCTGCCTTCTGATGGGTGAGGAAAGCAAACAGGGGGCCCCCTAGGGTGAAAACAGCTCTCTCCCAAACACTGAGTGTCCACTCCCTGCCCAGACTACGAGTTAATTGGCTTTAGAGCCGACTTGTGCTCCTTACACTGTGATTAATAAATATTAAAGCTGATATAGACCATGAAAATAAGCCTGCAGCCTGGGCGTGCCTTTCTGGTTGCTCCGTCAATGCCAGAGAACTGTGATGGCCCCTAATGGGGCACATGAGCTCTGAGCAGCGGCTAGGATAGAGGTAGCTTTGTGAACACTGACCCCTCTGGGCAATTAGCCCCAGAACCTGGGGGGGCCAGCAGCTGTAGCCAGAGGGTCTCTCTGACAGGGTCAGTGGGCCTTCTGCCCCAGGATGCCGCCCAAGAACTAGGCTGCTGCTTGGTTCTCCCTTGTTTTCCCATGTTCACCCAGCCCCCCTTTCTCAGTGTCCTAGGGCTGCACCTCCAAAGTCTGACTTTCTTCCCCACTGAATTGGGGCTGAAGGCCCCTTTGAGCCAGGACTCATGCTCTGCTGCCCTGAACCGGGGAGAGGGCCCCTAAAGCGGCACTCTTGCAGGGCAGCTCTGCCTTAGTGCCTAAACCCTCCACCCAGTTTGGTGCCAGTGATGTGATACTGGGGAAAGGGGCCAAAGAGAAGAAGAAAGGCTTAGGCTTTGTTATACCAAACTGGGACATGAACCCTTCTGTTCTTAAATTGGGACACATACACTTCTGTTGGGCTTTGTGCAGAAGATGCTACTTCAGCAACAACTGGGATGGGGTCTAAGAGCCCCAGAACCCCAGTTCAGACCTTCATTAATGGCCATAGACACCCCAGACTATAAATGGGGTGACCCAGGGCCCAGGCTTATCCTGGTAGTGTGTGGAGTGTGACTGTCTGTCTTCAGGTTCACCAATCTGTAGGCTCTGCCAACCACCCATCCTTTCAGAGAAACAAGAAGGATGCCATCTTGGAAAAGCTGGCCTAAAGCACACAGGCAGGGTTTCTGGTCAGCTCTGGGCCCATGTGGACGGTTAGATTCCCTCCAGGAGGGACAGTCAAATTAGGTTCTCACGGGGGAGGGTATGTAGCTCTAAATAGGTATTTCCCTCAGCCCCGCCTGTAAGTGGGTGGATTTGTGAACGAGACACATGCCTGGCCACAAGGCAGAATGATTCTAAGCTGTAAGGATTCTCGTGTCTTTGAAATGGGTGCTAAGTTTTGGCACCGCTCTCGTAACTCAGGCTCATTTCTGACCTGGGCATGTTCCGTACATGTCAGTAGCCTAGTATTAAGGTCCTCTCTCAAATCAATCCTTACCCTTGAAGGCAGCTGTGGCAGCCATGCCTTTCCACTGATTCAGCAGCAGGTGGATGCCCTCTCCAGGCTGGTCTCTCCTGATGATGGTGTCCCACCCCAGCTCCCCCAAGGTCAGCCTCTACTCTGTCCTTCCATTGTGACATCATGGTCTTAGTTCTCAAAAGCCAGATCCAGGGCCCTAACCTTCCCAAGAGAAGGCAGGCATCCCAAGGGAAGTCAAAGGCAAGCTCTTTTCTGTCCCTGGGCTGCCCTGCTCAGAGCTTCCTTTGTTGGGCAGAGGCTGTGAAAGGTGAGAAGGCCTCCCAGTCTCGGAAGATGGTTCCTGATGACCCCTCTCAGGGCAGACTCTTCTGAGATGAACTCAGAGAAAG